GATCGTTTACAGTAAATGTGTCGTCTGTGCCCATCAAACCTTAATTCTGCAAGCAGTGACTTCCTATGCATTCACTTTGGATTTCACTTCTGGTTTTATTAATGGATCTTAATCCAAAGTAAATTGTGAAAGTTTTACCATTTTTTATATTTTAGAAAATATAGAATAATGTTTAATGGCCACCCAATGAACTGCCTCTTTTTAAGGGAGATCCTGTCTTTCAGCCACGCTGTGCTGAAGGTATCGAATGTTTATAAATTTAAATACTGATTTCTCATCTACTAGAAATGTGCCTTTTCTAAAGCTTTGTGTGATCAAAGTATTTTAAACATATTGAGACAAGAACTTTGAGAGAAAGGGAATTGCTTTAAACATTATAGGACTGAATATTTAATTGCTGATCGATCACTGGCTTACACACTTTGACCACTGCAGCACTTTTTGTATAACTCGTGCCATTTGAAATATCAATGCAACGTTCATAAGCTGTATGTAACGCAATTTCGTTCTGTATGCACTCTGTGCATACAAAATGACAAATAAAGAAGTCTAAGTCTATTATTGCCAGCAGGAATAGATCAAGATGCTGAGTTTTTATTCAGGTTGCACAAGCATCTTAACAACTACATGCAAATTGGCTTTTTAAGTTCAATCCTTGGCATGGACTGAAACAATATCAAAAAAATGTTATTGAAACCAACAATGAGATCTAGTTTGGAAATTTTAAAAAGCAGAAAGACTCTCCTCACCCCTCTGTAGTTAAACACATCAAGATGAGGTTTGAGACCCTTTTAAGGATGCTCAATCCCCTTCCTTTTTCCACCTCCATGTTTTACAGTGATTACGGAGCTGGAGTCAGATAGAGGAGCCCTACAAATCTGTGATTTGGTAAACAGATTACTTTGAAACAGAACAAATGGTCAAAGTGGACATACTGATGAGAATCTTTCAAACGGGTCTAATATCGTTCTGTTGATCACTAATATGTAAATCTGTTGGTTTTTATCTTGCAAATTGAGTAAGCATAAATGTTTTACAGGTACTGTGGCTTCAGTGGGCAACTGGTTGCTCTGGATTATACTGAGAACTTAGGAAGAAAGGATCCCGTCACACATCTTAATAATTTTATCCATATCATATCCTTTTTTACTTTAAAAATAATTCTGTTGGTCTGTCCAATAAAGCACAGCGTCGTTTGTGGCTGTAATGTAATAAAACTGAAATACATTACTTTTGTAAGAACCTATGATTTCATTTGAACATTTTAAAAAGTGAAAATCTCTGCTTTGTTCCAGAAATTCAGTTTATATATCAACCTTTAAAACTACCCTTTGTAATCCGGTTTCTGCTGTATTCATCTGTCCTTAATGAGTGTTGTCACCCATATATTTTAGGACCATTATAAACAAGTAGTATGGGTTCCTGAACCTTTACTCATCCTATTAAGGACATAAAGGTTTATTGCTGTAAAAAACACAGAGGCACTGGTGGGTAAACAAGGGTTTCAAATAGTTTCTTTATTATCACTGGTAAATATAAACTGCTGCTCCACAATTCATTGTCAGAGGGCATTTTGTGACCCAACATAAGTGATTTATGCAGAAGAGAAAAATTCAACTTTTCCAATTTCTAAAAAGTGCAGAGATCATCTTATTACCCAGGAAATAGACATGGGACCTTTCTGAAGTGAAAGGTAGCAGATGATGTTGATGGAGCTTTGACACGGTGTGTGTCTGCGTTTCCTGCGTGTAATGCTTGTGTGATGCAACAAGTGTGTCACGATGAAAAGGAATGAGAACTATGATCCCTTTCTGTTTCATACCAGCACTCACACGTGACTCTACTTGTGTTGGGTCGTACTTTTGTTACCGTTTTAAGGCATGGTTAGCCACCTTGGATGCAGGGAAGGAGTTTCCCTGAAGCTTAAACGACTGGTCTCACTGTAGGCTTGTTCTTCGAGAGATTCAACACCGGCTTCTTAAGGCAGATGCTGAGAGCACCGGTGGTGTCATGTTGGGGTGGGGGAAGGGATGCATCGTGTGAGGGAGAGAGGGAGCCGTGCTGCAAACTAATGGAGACATCAAGAAAAGACTGTGGCAGACTGGTGGAAAGCACAAAGGTTATGTGTGGAGGACAAAAGGGAGGGAAGGGGGGGATGATCATTCAAATAGTAAACAGGAGTCAAAATATTCCTAGAAAGGGTTTTTATTTTTGCCCCCACCCACCCCTAAATAAAATTCTCTCTGAAGACAGTGACGAAGTAAACACACACACACGCCGAAAGGATTGCATTTTGGTGAACACACCTGTCCACTCACACCTACTCCTGATTTATTGTCCTGACATCGTGGCTCCACAGTTCCTCTCCGTTTTTAAAAGGGTTGAACATGACTAAAGTAAGCAGCATGCCACACTCACAGACCAAACAATCCTAACCTAGATTTTTTCAGATTTTAGTTTTTTTTTTTGTCATTTTATTTGTGTTTTTTTTCTTTTCTTTTTTGTCCATTGGTGTACCATCTTAAGGCTTTAGCTGAGCTTTATTAGTAGAACATGCATGAGCGGGGAGCTTTCTTTGGCTCTGCGCCGCTACACTGCAGAGTCGGTGTACATTCAGATAGTTTTGAGCCCCTCCCCCCGCTGTGACTTCAGAACCAATACCAAAGCCATCCGCTGCGTTCTCCGAGCTTTCTATGTGCGGGGCGATGCAGACGGCTTGGGGAGGGGGTTGGATCGCTGCCTCCTAGAGTTTGACAAGCAAGTTTCCATCTTTAGAGATGCACCGGTCCGTTGGCCAAAGCTCAGAATCTGCCAATTTTTCTTTTAATCTGAAGAGGATCAAAGCATGACTGATCTGAAAATATTTCTGCCTAAAAATAAAATCTAGCAGCATGGGGATTGGATGCAATTTTCTTTTTTTTCTTCTTTTCTTCTTTTTTCACGGCTTCAGGTTCATCCATCAACTTGTATCTATATTCTGTACCAAAGCCCCATAGTTTCTCCCTCCCTACTTCCATTTTGTTTTGTAAACAAATATCTTTGTCTCCCTTTCATCCACACAAATTGACCATTTGCCTCAAGTAATTATCTAAGTGCTCGATAAGGTGAATGGATCACTGAAATAAAATGTGTTTTTTTCCCTTGCAATAGTTTGTATTCCGATTGTCCTAAGATAGGTTTGTCAAAGATAATAATGTACACCCAATTTAGGATTAAAGATTTTTTTCAAACTTAAATGTAAAATCAGTTGTTTTTACTTTTTAAAAAGCAGCCTAGAGCTTCACGTTTTTAGTAGTGAAAAAAAGGATTTCCAACCTGAAATGTAAAGTTTTAAACAGGATCCACTCGATGCACTGAAAGCAGGTATAAAAAAATAACATTGAGGGAATAAACAAATCGACATCCGTTTGGTACAGAGTCCAATAGCAGAGGCTGCCATTTTGTTTTTAAAGAGGAAAATGTCACAATGGGGAAGTACTTTCAGACAATCTGAACCTTAATTCATCTTTTTCAGCAAAAACTAAAAGAAATACACTGAAATTAGCAGATAAAACTCCGAATAAAACCGCAAATCTGTAGCAGCTCTGATCGGTGCATCTCTAATGCTTTTAAAACTTTTTAATTCACATTTTTCTACAGTATATTTGTTCCCTCATCTCCCACACCAATAAGAGGACAGGACGGGTTTTATAAATGACAATAAAGAAAATGAAGCCCGATGAAACTGCCCTAGGGGGATCGCGCCAAATTGAACAGACACAAACGCCTCGAGGCACAAGAGACTTTTCTAAATATTCTAAGGATTGACTTTGCTGTGCAAACCAACTACGTTGTAGGAAACTCTCAATAAAACACACAAAAAGAACATAAGCTATGACTAAATATTTTTCTATAGACTCATCTATATATTTAGGATATCTAATAAATACATTTGGTGATAGACATAGAGCTCTTTCTGAGAACTATTTACATTAAAAGGTGTACATTTCTCCAGAAATAATAAATAGCTATGCGGCAAGGCAAAGGGGTTTCTGTGGTTTAACTGTTTAGTGCTTTTTAGAGGAGAAAACACAAAAAGCTTTGGGCCTCCGACTACATTACCTGGTTCCCTCTTATAACCTGCCCTGAATCAAACTGCCCCCCCCCCCCCCCCCCCTTAAAGAAAAGAAGTGTGAATTAACTACTTTCAAAAAATAATCTGTTTCAGTCTCACCTGTGTCTCCAATAGATATATTGTGGAATGTGCTTGAGTCTTTAGGTAGAACGGCTTTTCCCTTCCTGCTAACGGCTGCTGAACGGGCAGTGAAGGATTAATGTACAACAATGTACTAGCACCTGGCAGAACATCCAAGTATCAGGCCCGCTGGCTGCTGTTATAGGCCGTTGCACCCACTGCCAGGCCAAGAAGCGCTATCCACACCTTACAGGGATGAGGGGGGGGTGACTTTAAAAACGCCACCGTCATCAGAGAGAAAAACCATCCCCTAACCCCTTCACAATCTCATCCTGTACCTTAGTTTGGACGTGCGGGCAGGAACTTAGCCTGCCTGCTAAAGCTTCGTTACTGCAGAAGGTATTGCTGCCGGCTCAGATAGTTTAACACCGTGCGCAGTCTAGTTTAGTGTCCACAGAGCGACGACTGACATGTTTCACAAACATTCACTTCATCTGGGAGCATCACTGCTGCTGGAGCACTGGAGGGGGGGGGGGGGGGGGGGGGGGGGGGGGGGCTTTACAAGAGAAAGAGTGAAAAAAAAAAGACAGTTTTGTTTACAAAAGCAATTTCAAGTGCAAGGTACCGTGCACTGATGGTGTACTGGTGAGCAGGGCAAAAAAAGGGGCCCTGTGTCACTTATGAGACGTCTCACATCTAGGAGAGATGGTGTGTGTTTGTGTTGGATTCTAGAGAAGAATCTCATAAGTGCTTCCCATGGCTCTTGAGGCATAGAAAAAGAGGCAGTGGGACATTGTGTGGTAACATTCTCTGGCTGAAAGTTGTGTTTTTGGAGGACAGAAGGATAACAGGGGCGGGGCATCTTAAGAAACCCGCTCGTTTGATTGGCACGGAGTGGAGCGGGCGACGCCCTTAAGACTGACCGCTGATGAAGAGCTGGATGTGCGTGGGAGTCTCAGAGCCGTTACAGTCTGAATGCAAGTCAGACTTTACTGCAGAAGAGGCTTGGTCAGTCCTTACGGGGGGATGAGGAGGTGAAGTGGGGGGGGTTGAGCAGGTAGAAGGCGGGTTATTGACTGAGGGGAGGTGGCCATTGGCTCGCTGATCCAGGCTGTTTATAGGCTGCAGCCCAGCTGCTTGGCCGTCTCCTGAGTGTCCTGCAGGCGCTGCAGGCTGGCGCTAGAGTAGCCCTCATCGCTGCAGCTGCTGCGCAGGCTGCCTCGCTCGTCCCCTGAGTCACTCACACTGCTGGTGCTCCACTCCAGGTCACCCAGCAGGTAGTCCGTCCCCTCCACATCCACATCCAGGTCCTCTATAAAACAGAGAAGAAAAACAGGTTTACAACTCAAGAATAAAGAAATCATATACAAACGCCTGCCTGTTAAGAATAACTGAAGCTGCTGATTATAAGATGACTGAGGTCAGATCTTAGTAATATGAATGTTGTTGGACGGATTCATAAATTATTCGGGAGACAGAAGTGTCCAAACTGAAGTCTTTTAGGCTCACCCTGGTCAGAGTCAGACTTGTCTGAGGACCGGGTAGAACCGGTGCTGTCCATGCGGGTCCTCTCCACTCCCAGCTGCTCCAGGCGCCGCCTCAGGTGTCTCCGTTCCCGCTGTAGCTGTTCCAAAGTGTGCTGAGCTTTCCTGTCACTCTCCTCTAACCGCTGCACAGGGAAGAGGGGAGGCAGAGTCCTTTTGTTATTCTCACTTCAGAGCTCTTCACATTCTAACAATCACTTTAATGTGGTTTAATTGGAGCTCATGCACTAGGCCAAAACACACCCGTACAAAGTAAAAGGTCAATAATTCGTGGTTTTAAATTTTTTTTAGAACAGGACAAAAAAAAACATCAGAAAGTGTTGCATTTGCTTTGATCAGCAGACTCAGATACTCCTGAATTAATATCAAGAATTCACCCAATCACAACAGAGTCCATCTGTTGAGTAACTGAATCTCTGTAAAAGTGCAGCTGTTCTCAGACAACTTATAAAGAACATTGAAGAACGGCTTAAAAAATTGAAAGAAAACAGAAGACACGACGGTCTGCCTAAACCGACAGGCCTGGCAAAGAGTGAGCAGAGGAAACCAGCACTGCACATCCTTCTGAACCAACCCTGGTAGAGGAAAGTATCATGATCTGTGGAAGTTTCTCCTCAGCAGGGACAGCAGCTCAGAGTTGGTTTTAGATTCAAACATAAATAAAATCCAGCTGTCTTAATTAGAAGTTCGCATAGAACCAATATTGGTGCACTTTAAGTCGTAGGTAATGGCTGTTCCGGAGTGGTGCAGGACTTTACAAAAGTAAATAAAGTGATTGTGATTGGTCATTTATCAAGAGGGCAGGATTATTGTGGCGGAAGGTTCGAAAAACAAGTTTGATTGTGGCCGGTGTCTCGGAAGCATCTTGCTAACCAGTTAGCTACATAGTGCTACTAGGTTCCCAAAGGGAAATTCCATTGGGACCAAGTAGCACTAAATTAGTGACTTAGAAACGACACTGTCAAGGAACGCTATGGACAGAGGAAACATGCAAGAGGAGGAGAGTTTTGTGTCGGAGGTCGTGGAGGAGTCTCCTCCGTCATACATTTTTATTTAGAGGAGGAAAGGGGAAACGAAGCTGTTGTGGAAGAGGACGCCAGGGCGGCAGAAGCTTGGTTTGGTGTAGGAGGCTTACAGCCGTACATGTTTGAGCCCTTGCCTCGCAACGCTGCCAGTTCTGTTAGCTCTACGCCTGCTGAAGACACAGACGTCCATCCATGTGAACACTGGGGATTTACTCTATGGTAAAGTAAATGATACTTCTTTCTAATTTCACTTGCTGCGTATATTAGCTGCGATATATGGATAAAGATTCTACGACCAAAAAAATTTGATCGACAGATGACCGTTGATATATGATTGGCTGAATTTAGGTGTTCAGGCTGATGTATAACTAACTGGCCTGCACAAGATAAGGAGAAAAAAAAAGATTTTAAAACTGGGTTTTTTTTAATAATAGAAATTTTCTACATTTTGGGACAATATAGTCTGACAAAGAGTATATTTATATACATGTTAAAGCCAGGATGATTTGACATTTAAATATAATTTCTTTAAGCAGAGGCTCAAAATGTGCCAAGCTGTTTGAGACGGAGCCAGAAAGATTTGAATGTTAAATCAGTTAACCTCTGAAAGGACAACATTTCATTCATCTAAACACAAATACTATAAATAATCCTCCTCAGACTAACTTTTTGTTTTATTTGATACAGTACATGTACCTTTATATGTTCTTTGGCCTTCATCAGCAGGCTGAGGGTGGTGTGCCTGTTGGCATCTGGTCCCAAAGGAACGAGAGATTTCAAGCGCTCCAAGCACAGCCGTAGATGTGCCCGTCTGGAGAGAAAAAGTAAAATACGATAAAAAAAGGTTAAAACAGTCAACTTGTTGTCTCCTGACAGAAACAGAGGTAAACATTCACCCCGTTATGATTCAGTAATTGTAGGGCAAGTTCATATTAAACCACATGTTAACCTTACATCAAGCTGGGATCCACCTCCACACTAATCCGTTTGGTCATAGATGTTCAGCACAAACTGAACACAATGACTTTACCCAAATACGAGCTGGTTTCCATAGAGACAAACACTGCTATAATATATGGCTTCAGAACATCATTTTGAGCAAGTAGTTCAGAAATAACCACACCCACACAGCATGACATCACAATGCTCACAACTTATGAAAGCTCACCAAAAGTGGAACCATCAATAGGAGGATGTTCTTTTGTCAGTTTTACCGGTAAGTGAAAAAAGGAGTAAACTTGTTATTTAACAGGTTTATTTTTATACAACACTCCCTACAATAAAATAAACAAAAGAAGAATATTTATTTACCTTTTCAGGTTTTATGAAAATCAAAACATGGGAATATTTCAGTGTCAGATTTATGATCTATGTGAGCTAATTATCCCCGCTGTGTGACAAGTAGCAGATCTCTGTAAGCCTTGCCTTTCTTATTTTTTCCCATGCTAAGGCTTAAATAAAAAAAAAAAAAAAGAACTCAGTTTCTTTAGGAAAAAGACAAAGACAGCAGCGGCTGCATGTTGTAATATTTTCCCGTTCCTGTTCTGTCAAAAAGAACGAGGTGTTCTTCCTAACAGCTAAAGGTGCTGCAGCTAAACAGTGGAAATCAACTTTGCTACAGACAGTAAAGATTGGAGTTCAGGTATGGGAATTGAACACAATATAAAACTTTAATTTTGGCATCTTCAAAATAAATAAAAAAAATTCTAATTCAGACAAGGCTCGGTTATCTGCATGCATAGAAAAGTACTTGATAATCAAAACTTTAATTTTTAAGTTATAGAAAGTTTTTTAAAGGCTCAAATGGCCTTTGATTAGGTAGTTAAAATGGTCATAAGGGGAAGGGGGAAGACATGCAGTAAAGATCACCAGGAATCGAACCTATGACGGCTCCTTCAAAAGCCTCTGTACGTAAATAATAAAAAATAAATAAAAAAATTGAAGTCGTATAGGAAATTTTTTTGCCGCGGGAGGTTTTGGTCCTGACGGACCTCAGCCTCCTACCAGAAGCGACGTTGGGTCAGGCACATCAAGAGTCCTGGAGGCATAAAGCTCCTGAAGATGAGGAAGATTGCAGCAAACTACTAGGTGATAAAATCCAAAGCAGCCATTTTTACCCTCAGTTTGTCTAGAGCTGAATGCTACATGAGCTTTTGAAAATGGACCATTTTTAATCTCAATAGTTCACTACTATAAGAAATTGGTAATATTCAAGAACAACAACTTTTATTTCTACTGTATATCTATTTTTGTTAATATTTCTCTAAAAGAGGGAAATTGCAGAGAACAGTTTTAACCCTAATGATAAGAAAACCTAATTACAAGGCCTTTTGTTGGTCTTTTTAGTGTTACTAAATTCCTTAATAAAATATGTATCTATAATAGACTCTTTAGGAGCATAAAAGGCTGAACAGTACTACAAGAAGACCAGGAAACAGATGAGGGCTAAAACTTTGCAATCAGGTGACCAGGTAACTAACGCAACCTCCTCGGTTCACATTTATATTTCCCCTCCCTGATGCGTTTCCTGCTTTAAATCCCTTGCAGCTGCTAGTTGGGTACGTTGACCCCACAGTTATACAATGCACACCTCCAGCTCCAGGAGTGTGTACGTGTCTGAGTGCTTGCCTGAGCGAATGGGCCCGTCTACGTCAGACTTCCTTTATAGTGAGTGTTTAGTGAAGGGCTTTGCTTCACTCCCATCGGCTGAAAGCTGGCAACATGAGAGTTATTCAAATCAAACACAGAGAGATCTACAGCTGATTTAAATGTAGACAGAGGATTCACTTAATTATATTTTTATGCATGCACAGTGTGGGAAGCCTTTGTAAATGCAAAGCTGCAGTCAGCAGCTGAAAACAAGCAGCCATTTCTCAGCTGACTCGGTCCAAAGGGCTATTACATAACATGGAAATGTCTCCGCCCAGGTTGCTCTGACATAATAGGGGATCAACAGGGCAAGCTAATGTTTGCTAAACAACACTAGTGAGAGGCAGACTCATCAAACATCGCAGGTCACAGGCTGGCGACAAGTCCACAGCACTCTGCATTTTATCAGCAACGGGTTATTCAGGTTTAGTGTGTCAATAGGTGAAATCTATGAGGAACTGCACCTCTCGGCCTTAAGAGAGAGCTAACTGCTAACCAAAAGCTGAAGCTTCACACTGCTGTAGCTACTAGCTCAGGCTGCGTCGTCCCCTGCAGCTTAAAATAGTTTTAGTTTCTGCTCAGAACTACATGTAGGTCAGCTGGAGCCCTCTATCCCAACAGTAATAAATCCCCTTGCTGTCCTCACTTTCACCCTCTCACCTCACAAAGCCAGCGGCCACGGCCAGCATGCAGACGTTTGTGGACAAATAGAAACTGTTCTGGTGAATGGAGTCGAGTTTCGCAGAAGAAAACAGGCACCCTCACACACACACAGGCATGCTGCAGTGTCTTGTGTGCAGATTAAGGTTTGGAACTGATGGAAACTGTATAGGGAGGCCTGAACTCACAAGGTTTCCCTAACGAACCAATCTACTGCTTGGGCTTCCTGGTTATTGGCAGAGAATTGGTTGGTGGTAGCGTCTAGAAAAAAAGGTTAAAAAAGCTCTCATGAGGACATTGTTTTAATTTTCTGTAGGGAGCCAGTTGTGTAAAGCCAAATTGTGCAACAAAAGCTACGGTGCAGAGGAGTTTAATCCCACCGAGAGAAAAACTTTAGCTTTTTAGCCTATCATCAGAGCTGCTGCTGCTGCTCAACGATCCCTTTCAGATTTCTGTTCATATTAATGTCACAAAACTTCCTGAGTGCCGTCTTCCATCACTACGGCCTGTATAAAGAAAAACTGTTATGAGTTCTTTAATTCAGATTAACTAAATCTGGCCTTATAGTGATTTTAACCGTTTAAAAACCACAAGCTGACTCTCTGTGAATAAACCAAACTTATTGAGCTTAAGAGTTGTTTTTCTGATGCTGAAGTTGGGTCTGATTCCAGCTTCCAATTCTGCTGCTGACATGGAAACGTTCCAAGTAAGTAGGAGTAAGAGCTGAAAATGTTAAACCCCTGAATCGGATGCCAACTTTTTAGGAGTAAATCGGGTTAAAGTAACAGGCTGATAATCGATTCAACGACTGAAATCAATCGAATCACCTTTTTATATTTTCATGTTTAATGCAACACATAAAATTGCAACATGTTTAAAACTGTGCAAACTATAAATATGAATAATTGAGAAGTACTTTTATTTAGTAATCAGGTAATGTTTTGTTAATGTTGGAGCTAGCCAAACAGATGCGATGTTGGAGGCAGTGGAATATCTTATCTTCTTTCAAAATCATAAAATTTAGGCCAAGGACAGACAGAGACCTTAGTGCTGAAAATCATAAAATATCAACTAAGGTGCACAGAAAGGTAAGGGCCAATAATAGCCTTTGGTCTGTGAATGTTGTTGGCTATTGGATTAGGCAGAGTCTGCCAAAGGAAAACATGTGCATGCAGCTCATCAGCTGTCAGAGCTGCGGTCTACAGGCTCGCCTTCACTCCTGATACATGAGATAAAGATCGTTAAAGGGACTTGAGTCTAGTGTCAAGTTTTTCATAAACAAGTTCTAGACAAGGTTTTTGAGAAACTCAGGTCTAAAAGAGTGGGAACCTAGCTTCTTAGCCATAGCTTACATATGAGCCTGAATGTTATATTATGGTATCAAGTAACTAGTAAGTCTCTGCTTCACTGGCCATCAGTTATTGGTCTTCTGCTGTCTGTTCCAACTTTATAAAACAAAGTATGTTAAGAGAAACACTCTCCTACAGAAAGTTGAATAAAATGGCCAAGACTGTTGTTCTTCCCCATAACAGATATTTTCTACTGGATTTTCATTGAAAACTGTCCTTATGGGAAGTGATGAAAGCAATACTAGATGCCATTTGGCAGCAGAGCACCATCCGTCTAGTTGAAGGAAAACCTCTCATGTATCGCACTGTGATCCAGTGTGACGAGGGTCCTGCTCTTACTGTGAGATCTTTAAACAAGTAGAAATTTGACTTTCTTCTGCTAGAAACTGAATAAAATGTTTGTATCATTGTCAAAATTGTTTTGCAGAAATTGAGGAGGTAGTCGGAGGAGATACAGTCAGCTGATTAACCAGACACCTGATGTATTCTTTTCAGTGTCAGGCGGTGAACAAATGGGGGCTCAGTTGGCAGGAACCTACTGAAGCACTGAGCCCAAGGCATTACTATATCCACCAATCCTGGGGGAGAAAGGGCTGTTTGACTGAGAGCGAACACAGAGTCCTTGTTCTTTCTCAGGTCAACACCTGATTTGGTGTTTTATTAAGATAACAAAGACCTTCTCCAGCCAGGTTTTTCATTCCCAGCAAACTGTCTACTTCATACTTTTATCAAAAAAGAAACTGGAAACAAATGTAGCTTTATTTCTTTTAAGAAATAGTTATCACCATATTAGTAGATGTGGAATATTACGGGGACAGACCAACTTAAGTAATGAATAATTGTAATGCGGCAGCTGAAAAGACATTTTCTTTAGCCTTTTTATGAATAAAAAATCTAAGTTTGGTTTTCATTGTTATTCTAGCCTGGTTGAATACTTTTTAGTCTTTTTCTTTGTCTGGCCTCTACCAGGTTAAGAGGAGGTAAAGGAGATATTTTGCCAATGGAACACGAAAAATGTACATTTAAAACAAGAAAACACAATTGCATTGTCTTATTTCATGTGCATTTTATCTAATTATCTTATTTTAAGATTAAAGTACTCATTCCATTTGCGAACTATCGCACTTACCTACTCAAATAAGGGTAAATAAACTTAATTTAGAAATGTTTTACTTATTCCTAGATTGTTTTTTCAGTGTGTGATTGACTCCCTACATCTTCTCATAAACATTAAAACTGTTACTAGAGGACAAGCAGCCCCACAGCATTATGCTGCCATCCCCATGTATGACTGGGAGGAAGGTCTTTGGAGGTGATATTCAGAGTTAGCTTTAAACCTCACAGCATTTTGCATGGAGGCCCAAAAGATCCCCTTTAGTTTCATCTGATCAGGACACCTTTTCTTCCGGAGATTTTTCTGTCATCTCCTACAAGTTTAACTGGGACCATTTATAGTTTGGTTCTCTTTCTGCCACTAAAGGCGAGGCATTCTTCAACATTATTTCAGGATCCCTGCAGCTCCTCCAGAGTTACCATCGACTGATTGGCCACTTGTCTGATTGATGGTCTATTTGTCTGTTCATAGTTTAGATGGAAGGCCATATTTTTCAAGGTTTGCAAAGAAGCGGTAATCTTTTCATATTCAGGTGAAAGACTAAGCAGAGCTCTGTGAAATGTTTAAATTTGAGATATGGTCTATGAGCTACCTTTGCTTTTAGGTCTTCCACATCTTTCCTTTAACCTGTCAGTTGTGATTCTCGGTCATCATGATGCTGCATGTTTTGTAATATTGTCCAACAGACCCGTCTTCAAAATATAGAAAAACAGTCTACTAACTAGGGGTATTCTAGGACAAAAGGTTCTAGATATTATTTGGAGTAAAGGGGACTGAATTTGAATTAATTCCACATCCTTAATGAATAATAATCCTGGTACTTCAGTTGTGCAGCGTCTTGTGTTTGTCCATTATAAGAAACATTTAATTTAGCTGTTCAAGAAAAAAAATAGTATCTAGCTGTGGGCTGCTCAGTGGGTAGCACTGCTTTCTTGCAGCAAGAAGGTTCCAGGATGGATTCCAAGTTCGGCGTCTTTCTGTATGGAGTTTGCGTGTTCTCCCTGAGCATGCGTGGGTTCTCTCCGGGTACTCTGGCTTCCTCCCACAGTCCCAAAACGTGACTGCAAGGTTAATTGGCTTTTCTAAATTCTCTTTAGGTGTGAGTGTGAGTGTGTGAATGGTTGTTTGTTCTGTTTCTCTGTTGCCCTGCGATGGACTGGCGACCTGTCCAGGGTGTCCCGCCTATCACCCGTAGACAGCTGGAGGTAGGCACCAGCACCCCTTGTGACCCCGCTTGGGATAAGTGTGACAGAAAATTGATTAAATCTAGCTGTCATAAAGGGGTTTAGTGTAAAAACACTGAAGGGTCTGAAGACACTGTACATTGGTACAGCATTGATTTTATATACTGTGACTAACTTGAAACAGTTAAGTATCATAGCTTGAAAAAGCAACAAACCACACTAGAAAAATTTCAGTGAAAAAGCACCTGAACAAACCAGCATCCTGGGTTTAACTGCAAAATCATCAAGTATTTTCAGGACTGCCAGAGGGTATCTGGGTGATCTGGATGCCATGTGATGATGTTTCACTGATCACTAATTCAGGAGAAGCAAAGACACACACACAGAAATGAACACTTTATTACGTACCTGTTCTTTTCCATCTCATTGTGTGTAGACCTGCAGGGGTAAACAAGACAAAAAAAAGCAACGTGAGAGAAATGAAACCTAATAACAGAACCAGTGATTATACAGGGTGAGCAGGGCCTTGTTCATGTGCCATCACTGCAGTCCGGGACCTAACTGCAGAGGAGTGAGTGCCAGAGAAAAGGCTGTGTGGGGGTGTACGTGCTGTCAACAAAGCCAACAAAGAGATTCCAGAAAAATTTAAGGAAAAACTGAGTATTCTTACATCTACGCCTGCACAATAGTCAAAAGGTCTCCCTCTCTTTAGACTATCACAAACTAGTTTCTCAGTTTGATTTTAAACCAAGGAAATACTTGTTTTTAAGCAACAAAATACAAAAAAATCAGAAAATGTGTTTCTGCATAAAATTCTGAATGCTTAAGGCAGCCATCACAGATCTAAACAGGGAAAAGAAAGGATGTCATGTACAAACGTATCAACTGGTCAAATAAAACCTATTTAAGATGTTTTGTTTTAGGTTGTTCTTTAATTCCTATTTAGAGATACTTGTTAGCTCAGATTTTTAAATATCTTTGCAGGTTGCTTCCTTACGCTTAAACTGTCCTTAGATATGAGTGTGTGTGTGTGTATGGTTGCATGTCTCTGTCCCTGGGACCAGTGGAGATCGGCCATTTTATCAGAATCTTTGAGTAAAGCAGCAAGAGTATAAATAAACAATAAAGGCCGACATTTCACTTACGATTTTTAATCCTTTTTCTACCAAAATAGTAATTCCAATTTTATTTACATTTTCTCTTCACTGCATGTGGGCAGCGCTTCATTGTTTTCATGGCCGTGGATTATCTTTAACTGGGCGTCTTGACGGGGGGGCATTAGCCATTGCTTTAAAAACATGCTTTCTTCTCCCTTGCAAGCATGGAGCTGTGCGCTAGCTACAACTCACTCTTACCAGTTGTGTGACATCAAATATGATGTTAGCATATTCCCGCTTTAAATGCTGGAGTGAGAAAGTCACCGTCTCATAAAATTAGAGGTGATAAATCAAGTGTCTCTGTGATTTGGTAATAATTTAAAAAAAATGGTGATTATATTGCAAAAACAAGGAATGTTTTGCACCTACTGCATACCTACGCTCCTTTTTAAAATTTAAATGCCGGATTCTGTTTTCTATAGGGCTTGATGATATGGACAAAAATATCTCAATATTTTCAATCATAATATATATATATATTGATATTCTTTTCTTTCAAAAAGTAATGAGAAAGAAAAAGTAAACTCAGAACCAAAGCCTTAACACTAATATCCCATAATCTTATTCATTAGTAAACTGCTCTAGATGTTCATGAGAAATAGCTTTAAAATAACATAGTGGAAGATATTGGATAATAATCCTCCACAAACAAAGAGCACTGGGGGGGGTTGGGAGAGATTTAGCCTGGACTTAAATAGGAAGGAAGAGAAAGAGGAACTGGGGGGTCTAGAGTGTAATTATAACGTAACATAAAGCATCTCACTATATTCTTATCTTATATATCAATAAAAGCTTGATAAGTTGCCCGGCTCTGCTTGTATCACTTAAAAAAGTTGACATGAGAGTGGTTAAGTAGGAAGGTCTGAGGCCGTACAGCAGTAGTGGAGTACTAGGATCATAAGTTTGGCTGGTAGGTGATGTTTTTGGACATGCAGCAGATCTCTACTAAGCATTACTGGGACTTCCAAATCCTCCTAATGGGATGCAACGACCAGCCTGGATGGTTTCTATAACTATGTGGCTCCAAGTGATTCCTAAAGAGCTTTGATGATGAAATGTTGTCATTCAAGTCTGGCCTTGTATTTGTCACAAACCACTTCCTGAGTTTCATGGAGGCCAGATGTTCCTGGAATCATTGCAGTTTCTTAAATGCAGCTAAAACATTTAGTTTCCCTACAACGAGGGAGAGAAAAATGTTAGAAGCATTAAAGGTGAATTTAAAGAAAAAAGTGAACCTCAATGGTAAACAGTGAGAACAAGGATCACCGTTTATTGTTTGAGGTTTTTTTGCATTCACTTTTTATGTGAAACAGAAAAATTATGTTTCATGATGTGTATGTGGAACATTGCTTGTGGATTTGTAGTGATTAAATATGACTTACAGCCAAATGTTTAAAAAAGATAAATCCACTGCAATGTGCTGTTCTATGGGGGAAGGTTCTAACATCTAACAGAAGTCAAAAGGATTTATCAGAATGGATTTAAATAAGAGGGAAGTTTATTATGTGAAACTATGTTACGATAACGAGAACCACAGCGTGTACATAGTGACAGTGACCAAAACAATGAAGGCAAGTGTAGATGCCTCTAAGCCTGTTCATGTTGCCAGATCCTCCAGCACATGTTGTACCGATCAGTGTGGGGGTGGGGTGAAGCACAGCAAAGGTAAAATGAGAGATGGAGGTGTGTGTTGATGGCCAGCATTGCTCCTGCATTGCAGTGGTGCATTAACTCACAAACGGGGGAGGGAAATCTGACCCTTTTTTTTTTTTTTTTTAATGGGAACAAACAGCGCAGAGAAACGTAGAGTTAAGATCATCCACCTCCACCTGACCCTTGATCCCCTGTCCTACCACGACTCCCAAAATAACCTCCTCATTTTCAGCAGCGCTGGACTCAAAGCGATCCCTGACTGACTGATTTATGCTCAGTTTGATACTCAGGCAGATCTTTGACACATCCAATGTCTTTTTGTTGAATTAAATTGATTAGAACCCCTAAAAAGTATGGTTTTATGCTACACAGGATGAGGCTTACAGGGTGTAAGTGAAGCTTCTTCTCCTGATGTGGCACAGATCTGTTTGTGTGGGCATCATCATGTTTCAAGCAGCCACTCAGGGTGCTCCGTTTCACGCCTGGCCCCCTCCAGCCGGTGTGCATTCCTGTGCAGGGCAGACGGCCACAGGTGACATAACAGATCTGGCAGTGAAGGGATCCTACATACTGAGGCTTGATTTCTGGCTCTGGAAGATGTTACACCTCCTGCCTCGCTCCTGTGCTGTTTGCTCCTCCACAACTGCAGTACAAGTTATCCAACACAACTTTGGTTGTTCTCCAGTAATTAAAATACTCTGTTTCAGATCACAGTGCTGCTAAACTAGGACAACAAATGCACAAACATTTACGTGAGACCTTTTCTGACATGATCGAGTAGTATCAGGTTCAAGTTCAGTTGGATGTCAGAGAGGAGGGTCACTGAGTTGGCTCAGAGACTGAGGCAGCTTTACATTAACATTACAACCAATTAAGCAACAGAAAACGATGCATAGCAAATTCTGTTGGGGACTAAAAATTTGATCAGTGGACTGCTTGGTGATTCTTAATTGGCTTTTTTGGGGGGGGGGGGGGAAATCTGATTTTTTTTTAAGTTCAGTGAATGCACCAGTGAAGGCAGGTCCCACCAATGGTGCCTCTCTGTATGGAGATATTTGACAGGAGACCTGCTGGATTAGGAAATTCTAGCAAGCTTTTTGGGAAAGAAAACAATGTTTAATTCAAAGAAAGGTTCAATCAATATAGACAAATGTTGATTCGTTTTTTATTTTAATTCAATTCAATTTAGTTTATTTATATACGCTTTACAATCAACCGGAAGCAGTTACGCGCAAACACGCAGAACATGTTATATCTCATGTAACATATCTGATGAAATGGTTTACATCAATATTTTTTATTAAAGCTTTAATGGATTTTAATGCCAATTAAGGTCTTAATAAAAAAAAAGACTTAATGATTTTAATGACCCAAGGTTACCCTGTTTCTATCCAAGGAAAACCAGCTGATTGCATCGACTAATTGACTCAAATGCAATCCCTCACACTAAGCATGCTTGTAGCGACAGTGGAGAGGAAAAACTCCCTTTTAACAGGAAGAAACCTCCAGCAGAACCAGGCTCAGTGTGAGCGGCCATCTGCCGAGGCCGACTGGGGTTCAAGGAGACAGAAGCAGAGATACAAAAAGCAGCTATTAAAGGCAGCCCCTTGCAGGAAACACACAGCCAGGCAAATCCAGAGAGCATATCCAGCTAGTCACAGTCAGAGAAACAGGACTAGACTTAAAAACAGGCTGATCACCAACATCTATAAACAAAGGTGTTGATGGCAGCAGCACAGCAGATTTTTTTAAACTGTTAATCTTAAAAAGAGGTCAGCCTCTTTGATTCTTTCATTTCCAGTGGGATTCAAGCCTTCGAGGATTTATTTCAACTATAGAGTCAGTATGTTCCTCCCAATTTTCCACATGTTCAGCTGAACAACCTCATTACTTATCTAAGTTGCTGCAGTTTAGCAAGGTACGGGTTGTAATCGATCAGCACTTAGCTGCAGAGACGTGTATTACAGACGGCTCCCTACACACAGCCTCACATGGCCTGTAGTCAAAACAGAAAATTACTATATGGTAAAACTAAATAAATGAATATATAACACGTAACTTTAACTCAAATATTTCTAGTCATGTGTGTGTAAATAAAATACAAATCTGTTAATTCTTAGTGATCATGTGCATTATGGCGACCAGAAGGCCCGGCGGTGCCTCTGTACAGCAGCCTTGCCTCCATCAGTGAGCCGCAGGGCAGCTGTGTCTCTGGACAGGAAAAACAGCTGTAAGGTACACACCATTTACTTTAACATTTGAGATATGATGGTCAGTAAAAAAGCTTGGTTTTGTATAATTTGTACCAGAAATAACATTTATTTATGATTATGTTAGGATTATTGGAAATCAACCTCAAAAATATATGATTGACACATGTTTTTTGTTCAAAATATTTTTCAAGATCCAAGTAGAGCAATCCTGAGATTGTTCTACCAATTTGATTCACACCAATAATTTTAAGGAATTTAAACAAATGAGCTAATTAAGATTAAATCTAAACTGCAACTCAGAAGTAAAGTCTGCTTCTGGTTCACGTCAGAAAAGGACATCATTCCCAAATTTAAAAATTTAACTCAAACCAAAAACGACTCTGAAATACAATTTTTTAGATTGCGACTTTGTTTAATAAAAACTAATATGGATGGAAATATAGGCCTCACTAAATAACTAAGCCAAATGTTTTATCAATTCATTTAAACACAGAATAAGAAGCTGAATCCTAACTAGGTCAAAGTAATTCTGCCAATTAAGAAAGACTGCAGCAGTAACGTCTAGTTTATGGCTTCCAGTAATACCGCATTCGATGAAATGGAGGAAGTCAATAAAAAACAATTACAATCTAAAGAAACGGCTCAATGATGCCAACTGACATGGCTGCCTGGGTCGTGTCCTGCTGCCTGTGTTGCCGTTTTATTTCTAATTTCTAAACGGAGGTGGTTTCAATTCATCAGGCTGGTTAGAACTGGAAAACCAAAACTGATGGCACAATATTTCACCTGCTCCTTCATATCTCGACTCAGCTTCCAATGAAACTGTCCGTCTGTCAGTAACATCATCATAAACAACGATGTGCTCAGCGCTGAGCACTACATGGCTATGTTTGGGCGTCCATCCAAACAGCATGAGCTCTATGGCGCTTGGTTGCAGCATGTATGAAGCTGAAGGCAGGGTGAGGGGTGGACTCTGATTGTGCACCAGTGGATCTCATTTTCTCCACAGACAGCCAGCAAAAAGTGAGAGAATAAGGTAGGAGAAGATGGAGGGGAAAAGAGGAGAGGGAGAGAAAAAGGGAAGGGGGCCAATCACTACATGTGACATGCATGCATGTGTAGGCAGCAGAAACATGGCGACTCCCCTCCCCCATTATTCACACATCCAAGCAGTCGGGATGCATCAGAAAACTGGGAGGGAATCACATGATGGTTATATCCAGGTCCAAGACTCCTCTCTGACTTCCCTACATTTGAACGTGTATTAACTGCACTGCAAAAAAGAAAACAATAAACCTTTCTGATCCATCACTGAACCAGTTTCCCTGATATTAATCTCTTATTTTCCCAGGATCTTCTCTCCTGCAGCTAGTGCAGGTCTTCCTAATATGGAATAATCAACTCTGCAGTGCAGAATTCTGTTTAATAACAAGCGTGGCTCTTAGGCCTTTAAATAGGAGCAAGAGCTGAATAAGTCCTCAGAGAAGACAGGAAAGCCAAGCCAGAACATCAGAACCTAATCTATAAACAACAATGAGGGAAGCGGAAATTCTGGGGGATAAAGCGTCGCTGGAAATGAAGACAAACTCACACGCTTTATGCTTGACATGCCAAAAAAAATGCAGCCCTGCTAAACGTGTTCACACATGATCTGAGGTGAAGGGACACTCTGCACGGCTCGTGTCTCTTAAAACACGGTGGGAGTGGAAAAACAACTAATTTGTCACCATCAGTCAAAGCTCTACCAAACCCAGACACATATATAGTTATCACACTAGGCCAAAACATGACCCAATGAACAGTCTTTATTCTTTTTACGCCATTTATGTTTTCTAAATTGCTGCATAGCAACAATCCCAGCACTTAAATAAGCAGCTACATTTAAATCTTTTTGGAATAAAGATTTATAAATATAAATTAGGTTACTTAAAGTTGTGATCTCTTCTCCTCAGGCTTTAGGCAAGAGCAATTTGCATCCAACAAGCTCCAGCAAATGCTGATATGCAATCAAAGAATGTGGAAAACAAGTTACTTCTGCAGTGCAAAATACAGGGGCACTGTATGTACCACTGAATAAGGTTCAAAATGTATGGAATGAGGAGAGTCTGTGGAGTATTTCTTTGTTTAAGTCTTATCTAGGACAGCTCAATTTAGCAAGAGATTGTCTCTGTCTGATGGCCCCAAATACATCAACAGATTGGAATCAGCCACCATCAGCAGGTCAAAGATGGAAACCTGTTTTATATTTCATATTTGTAAATGTTTATAGTTGTATTTTTGCTTTGTGTATGGTGTGTGTGCTTGATAGTTATTTCAATAATCAATTTATCACAATGAATATGTTTCGGTTCTAATCAAAACATCTAAAATAAGAAAAGAACGTTACACACAGCCTGGACTGCATAAGGTGCAGGCAGGGTAGTCACCTATCCAAAGACTTCTCTATAGATAACTCCAGGTGCTAATGAAAATTTGATTGCAGCGTTATGTTTTTTTAAAAGCTGAATCATAATTGTCTGAACCTGGCAGGATTCCAGCATTGCATTATTCAGCCCTAACATTTCCTGTGAAAATGAATCATTTATTTACTGTAAACTAACAGATCTCTATAGGAGCCTGAGTTAAACACATCATTTCTGTCAACATACAGTGCTGTATAAAAAGCTCCTCTTCCATTCGCCTCCTAATTCATACCTGTATTTCATAACCACATATTACCATTACAGCTCTGTCTCTTATTTTATACCTAAGTTCGTAAACTATTTTGGTTTTGATTCCGATCCGAGCCAGGTGAATCTTATGAAATATGAACGACTATGACCCTTGATCAGACCGAAACAACACTTCCTTTTGAGCTCCTACTACAGAGATTTCTTAATTGGTTCATAGCTGCTTACAGCAGACTGAGAAGGCTGTTAGAACGTGTACAAAATGTCCCTAAAGTCTGAACTGATGCATGGTCTGTATGCAGCATTCCACACATCTCTGTGCTGGGACTCAAGTGAGCAAAACTGGAGAAAAAAAAAGGGCGAGGAGGGTGGGGGTTCATAAAAGAATTGACAGGAGCACAAAGGTATGGATTTTGTTTAAAAAGTAAATCTTCCTAAACAGCTTTTGATCTCTGAACAATGGTTTCTCTTGTTCAATCAAACAGCATGGATTGACCCCTGCATTCTGTATGAGGCGCAACAGGTAAAGAACATTCTGTCCATTTTCCTGGAACAATCATGGAAAGGAACCAAACTTCATGTGCACGATGCACACCGAAAATGTCAAAACATTTTATGCGCTTCAACTATCACACATGATTATCATGATATCCCGGCTGACCAAAATATGGTATTAGTATAATTAAAGTAAATTTAATGCAGCTCCTATTTTCATTAAGGCTTTTTCAGGTCGTCAGTAAGGAGGCATTTTATCCTTCTTAGAAATGACTAATTCTAAACTGAAATGACCTTAAGACTAAAAGAGTCTTAAAACAGTTTTAAATACCAACATTGCAAATTAACATTGACATTGTCCAAATGAGATTGTGTAAGCCGTAACATGGAAGTCAGGTATGTTGCTCATTGGGTAATCTCTTTTGACAACTTCCCCGATCTCCTTTCCCTTTTTTCTCTTGGTCCAACAAAGCCGGTATTTAGCTAAATGTACTGCACTGTAGTGTTAATGGACAGATTATTAGTGATTTGTTAATGAGGCATAAAGTCATGGCAAAATAACACTTGGTGCCAACCAGTTTAACATTCCTTAGAGAGAGCGGGTACCTGACTAGATGATAAACAATCAGTACTTACCCAAATTAGATCAACTTAAATTGACTTAAGTGGAGAATCCAATGGCCAGACTGGATCCCATAACAACATTTAGCAGTTTGCCATATATGGGCATAAAAGAAACTGTATGCTTGCCATACTTTCTTTTTTGTACAAAATGGTAGCTAATCTATGTCATTTCTTGTTCTCAAAGTAAATTAAAGGTTTCTCCAAGTACCAGAGTGCAACTAGACCCAGCATGCACTGGTTTGCGTGACAAGAAGCTGAACAGTATTTACCTGCTACTTATGTTTTTCTTGCTCTTGTTTTTCCTTTTCAAGCTTTCCCTCTCCCGACTGCTGATGAAGGGCGGCATGGAGGCATAGCCATGTTCAGCTTCTGGAAGCAGATAAACAACAAAGTGGTTACTTGCCTTTTTTTTTTACCTGCGGTTATAACAGCCACAGACAGGATGATGAGAGCCTGTAAAGGGGGAAGACTGGAAGATGCAAGAAACCAACCAGATATAATATGCATTTTTTTATGCTATGGTGCATGCAAACCTTTCATAAATTAAATGAATTTAAGAGATATAGCTGTTTTTATTTCTTTTTATGTTTGTATTTTTCATTGTAAAAAGGTTACTGTTGTGGTTTAGGTAGACAAATTTAAGATCTGTCCAGAGACAACAGATGAAAAATAGCCTTTTGGCTATTTTTCTAATTCTGGTGCATTTGCAGGAATTATTTATTTGTCCCTGTCAAATAAATAAATAAATCAAAATTATTAATTTCATATCTTATCTTGATACAGTACAACCCCCCCCCCCCCCCCCCCCCCCCCCCCCCCCCCCCAATTTGGACAATGATGTCATCCTGCACGACAGTAAACCCCACTAGCTAACAACAACAGTAAGAAAGGAGGGGCCTTAACAAAAACATTGTGTTCCTGCAGGTTGAAATGCCTCTGCTAGCTGTGCATTTATTATCTTTTCATTTAGATTGCACAGTTGTCTTTGCACCATGCATATTATTTATAGGAAATAAGACATTATCAGGATCGCGAAGATTAGCAACGCACAGGGTAAAGAACACACTGTCCAAACTCCAAAAACAATAACAATATTGAAGGTATTCCCATCATTTCATGCAAAATAAAGCTGGGCTGCAGTCGCATTTAGGCAACTAGAAAATCATGTTCATTATTTCCAGTCACTTGTGGAAGAACTGTCATTGCAAGTTATTATGGAGGAAAAAAACAACAAAGGAAACAAGACGACAGATATACTTTACCTCTTTCTCTGCGATCGAGGTATTCAGCTGCTTCGATCAACATCTGCACCATTCCAATCGCCGCCATCTTCAACAATAACAGGAATATTAAAACAATCCGAACAGGGATTCCGTAGGTGTATCCAACCTGCCTCAGGTCCTTCCCCAGATTCTCCTTCAACGATCTGCTTTGGCTTTGCTCGCAGCTTTTACTTAAAAAAGACGAAGCTGAGTCCTTTGGAGTCACAATAGCTGTTTAACTCTGGTATATTTAAAAGTTAAAGGTCCAACAGCGTAAAGCACCAATCAGTTAAAAACTGCTGTCTTCCCTGCTGAGCACTCAGATGATGATTTAAAGGGCTTGGTGGAAGCTAGCTACTGATGGCTAACACTTCTGGTCTGCTAAACACTCCTTTAAAACCGATTCGAGTGAAACAATCGTTTAAATATTTAAAAGTCCTTCCAATATTATTTAGTTTGTTTGTAAAACAAGAAAAGAAAACTTCCCCGGACAGGAAAATGTTTGATGATTGTAGCTTTGTGTGGAGGAAATATAAAAAGTAGGCTAACGTTAGCACAAAAATTAATAAAAAAAAATCAAAATGCCAAATAAACGACGTTGAGGTTTTACTAATGTCGGTGTTTTTGGAAGCGTCAGCCAGAGGAGGAGAAAAACTTTGACGTCTGTAGTTGCCTGAAGCTGCCAAACAGGAAAACACTATGAAAATGGAGCTAATTTTCAAATGAAGCCAGAGTTGCTGTTTAAAGTTTGTAGGTTGGTTCTGTGCTGGTTTATAGCTTAACGGAACACCTCAGACGTCTCGTTGAAAACGGGCGAACCGAATGACATCGAGCAGCGACAAGTTGTCAAAGTGCTTCCAAAATAGTGCCTTGTTAATGTGGACAACAGCTACCTACTGAACTGTATGACAAAGCCTCTGTGTGCTGACACGTGATTGGTCAAATAGAACAAGAACTCCGACTCCTATTGGTCTTCTCCACCATCGATATTAGAAAAAAAATGCTTTGGCACAGGCCGCCACTAGGGGGCCATTTTGGATCTAAATCTCGTTGGGTTCAATGGAAGGTGCTGAGCCAAGATGGACGTTGTTTCCTGCGCTCACAGAGGTGTGTCTTGATTGGATACTTTCAGACAGAGTTTCCTAACTATTTGTTTCGATGCAAAAGACTGAACGATCCAAACTAAAATGACAATTTCACAGTAGCCCCGCCCCTTGAGCCATGCTGTTTAGCTATGATAATTATGTATTACTAGATACACAGAAATCAAACTACTAGACCACTACCTTACAAACACATTAACTAGTGACATTTATTCAATTTAATGATTGCATCATTACTTAGGAAGATATTTTTCTAAATCAAAGTAATACAAATAAATCATTGTTTATTCCAGTGACGTGACAGAAGTGGGCACCCAACATGAGTGAATGCGTCGGCTGGTGCTCCTTTTGATAGATTAGCAGGGGCGGAGCTAGATGGGGGCCACCCTTAGACAATCATTGGCCACCCCTGTGCACATCAATACACTAACATTAAAGATGATAAATATAGAAATCATGCTCTTTTCAAAACTAGATTTTGTCTCATGGGGTAAAGAGAAAACAATGTCTCTGCAAGTCATCTATGAGCCTTTAGTGAAATCAGAGATAAATAACTACTTTATTAATAAGTAGTCCATTCAATGTAGATATTAGTACATGTAAATATGAATTTTATTCAGAACTACTGTTGATAAAAGTAGGAAAGTAATGACAATGAATAAGATGTTTGCTCCAGAACTCAAACCTGAAAGAATTTTGTCCAATACATGTTTAATTTAGAAGACATGGATGTTTAAAAATATGTGTCTATGTTTTAGCAAAGGCTATAGGAAATTATAGTCTTTATTTACAAAATATGGATGTTGTGGTTTTTCATTTTCCTTTTGGAACAGTGTAGACTGACCCTGAGCTTCTCACGTCTATCTGCTTTTTGTCATCCCCCAGTGTACATTAGTTATTGCTACGCCTCTGTAGATTGGATGAGCGCCAGATTAGGCTTTAAATCAACAATAAGGAAATCTTGCAGATCATGCAGCAACTTGGGTTCGTAAGGACATTTAATTTGAGTTCAGACAAATCAGAACACTGATTACAGAGAAGCTAAAGAGAAAAGCCTGGCAATAATTTACACAGCTACACCGAATGGAAAACAAAGAACTGAAGGATGACTGCGTCCAATCGATCCAGCTTACATCCATGTTTGACCCCTTTGGAGAGTTTGATCAGAATGATCTATTTTCATGACAGGATTGGGAAAAGGAATATCACAAAGACCCAGAGGGAGGTCTGCTTTAGACCATGCACACAATTTCATAAAATTATTTATTGTTCATTATTACTTACGTGGATTTTTTATGTTCTTGATTGCCTGCTACGTAATCATTTTTCTTATGTGGCGAAACAGCTTTTAGTTTCAACCTTAGACCCTTTCCTTCTTCCAACCTTTGTGGAGGGACCAAGTTCCTTCAAATAAAACGATTCTTAAAAACAAAAGCAAAGGACTTTCACTTAAATTTTCCAAGGTCAGATACAAGGATATCAAAATACAGACCTTATATAAAAATCAGTCTTTAATTCATATTTACCCCAATACTGATACATAATCCATTAGATAAATCCAATGTTTATTTGAACAGTGTCTTTGAGAGCTTCAAATTATAAATTTCCTTAATTCAGAAGGTGCTTCTAAGTTAAGAGATGACACAACTTATATAAACATAAATCTGACATTTGTTTGAGAACCTTTAAAGCACAGGATGAGCCATGATCTACTCCATATTAAACTGTCTGAAAACATGTCTATTAAGAGCCGCTTCAGTGGAGAACAGTATCAGGGAGCCACTTGGTTTAATGAGCACCATGCTGCTACCTCTGTTTTCTAAACTAGAACTGTGGTGCCTAGTAGTATTTAAAATCAGTTTGTCAAAGTTTTATGCAGTTTTAAAGTTAGATTAAGATACAAAGTAGGAACAACACAAATTCTGTCAACTTTATGGTATAGAAAATGTTTGTATTTATTTTACTGAACTACAGCAATTAAAGAACATGCACATCCTGTCAGGCGGCAGTTCTGGAACTACAGCTGCGCAGGTAATATATTGCTTTTAAATACCTGCTAACAGTAATTTTCCTCAGGGCTTTTAACAGAGACAAATACAGAACTTGAGTGTTGGATATTTATTTTTCCGTTTATAACTTACACCAAGCTTTATGAAAGTCCGATGCGATATAACTGTAAATTCAGAGTCTACTGGTTTCACAAACTGTTAGAATATTAGGAGTGAAATCCCCAACAAGTTAGTCTGACAGTCCGATACAAATACATGAAAAATAGCACATACTAGTAGCTCCTCTAAACTATGACGGTATATCATCAGGCTTTTTATCTGCTATCTTACATTTATGCAGCAGTGTCTAACAGAACAAAAAAATAGCTTACGCCAATTTTTATTTTTTAGGTATATTTAAGTTTATTTAAATCTGGAATTGAAGAACTACTTAAAGCTACATTAAACAGAACAACGGCTGGATTATTAGGGGTCACTCATTGTGAGAAAACGTAAGAGCAAAGTTAGCAAGTAAGCTAAACCAAACAATCAATGAGAGTATAGGGACCTGGATTTAGATAAATGAAGAAACAAGCAAGGGAAGAAAGGTTTAAGGATGTATTTAAGAATAAAGCTTTAGATGACTAAAAAAAATACTTTTACAGATAGTCAACATTTTAAAATTTATTAAGAATACAGAACAAATTTCCACAACAAAATACTCCATTACCACATCTGCTCTGAACTGAGAAGGACTGGAGGTATAACTATTTACAACATATGGTCAGTAAAAGCAAAAAACAAAAAAGCTGTATAATAACATAAATTTAATAGGAGATAGATCTATATTGTCCTTGTCCTCTTCAGGGGGGAAAAAACTGCTTGTTAAAGACAAGCTGTTGACACCTTTAAGCGATGAAGTCCAGTGGTCTGTTAAATCCTCCTTTTCTGTTCATGTACTGCCTGAGGAAATAAATGCAGCATCAAACATTACATCATCATCATTTTCTTTGCAGCACTTGCAGGTTACATCATCAATAGGAGGGCTGGAACTGCATATGTGTTTGGCTACTTCAACAGCAGACCATGCAATAAACAGCCAAAGCTAGAGATGAATAAAACATTTAGGTTTAGAGTAATAGACTAAAAAAAAACTTTAAAGGCCTAATATGTCAGAGGGATTTTGTTTTTTCTCTTTGCAGTGCTATACAGCAACATTCCATCAAACTAGGATAGGGTAAATAAAAAAAAATCGTATATGTGAAAACGTACCTGTATTTCCTCTTCATGGTAACGTTGACTGCATATGCATTAACTGATCCATCCGTTTTCTTCCCCTATGGAACAAAAACTAACTTTACTGCCAATGATACTAAAGAGTGTAATAATGCAACATTATCAGTGTAATACAACATTTATGTTAGCTTTAAGGCTAATTTATACTCAGAAACCAGGTCATCGTGTGTGTGTCTCAGTTAAAGTCGTAGGGATCAGCTGTTTCCGACGTTACATTTCCGAACTCTCCCGAGTGGTGCCTGACTGAATGTGATTGGTTGATTATCAAGGGGGCGAGATTGTTGTGGCAGAAGGTTCGCAAGCATGTTTGGTTGTGGCCGGTTTGTCAAAAGCATCTTGCTAACCAGTTAGCAACGTAGTGGTAGTAGGTTCCCGATGGGAACCAAGTCGCACTTAGCCACGACACTGTCAAGGAACGCTATGGACAGCGGAAACATACAAGAGGAGGGGAGTTTTGTGTCGGAGGTCGTAGATGAGTCTCCTCCATCATCCATTTTTTATTTAGAGGAGGAAAGTGGGAACTAAGATGTTGTGGAAGAGGACGCCAGAAGCTTGGTTTGGTGTAGAAGGCTTACAGCCGTCCATGTTTGAGCCCTTGCTTCGCATCGCTGCAAGTTTTGTTAGCTCTACTCCTGCTGAAGACACAGACATCCATCCCCGTGAACACTGGGATGTATATCAATGGTAAAGTAAGTTGATTCTTATTTCAACCGTTGCGTATATTAGCTGCAACATATGAATCAAGATGATATGGCCGCAAAAATTTGATTGACAGATTACTATTGATATATGATTGGATAAATTTAGGTGTACAAGCTGATGTATAACTAACTGGACTGCATAAGATAACGAAAAAAAAAAACAACCCACAGATTTTAAGACAGGATTTATTTATTTTTTAATGAATATATACTAACTTTTAGGACAATATGGTCGGATAAAGAGTATATTTATATACATGTTTAAGCCAGAATGATTTGAAATTTAAACATGATTTGCCTACTTTAATGCAGATATGCCCCCGCCCCTGCGGCAGACACACTGCTGCACTTCACCAAAATTGTAGGAGACCACAGACAGGAGGCCCCCTGATTGGTCAAATCTACATCCGTTCTACAATATGCGTATCTACTGTTTGGTACTTTACTGGCTTGTTTTGTTTGTATGACCGCCATTGTAGAAAACGACTTGTGAAGATGGACCAGCTAGAAGAGCGAGGTGCGCGAGAACGCTGGGACCCTTTTTCCACCTGGATCCCCGCACTTTTTCGCCCCCATGTCCCTCCATTGTTGCACAAACTTGTCCTCACTTTCTCACCACCTCAGCCATATCTAGACCCAAAGCTAATTCATGACTGCCCCTCCTTCGTTTTGGCGTGGAATAACATAGCACAGACCACGCTTCAATATTGGGCATAAATCAAAAATATCTGCAACAACCTCACTGCGACACACTGCTGTGGGAGTATAACCAGCCCTTTAGGAAGCATGTTTTTTTTGGTTAAGTAGTTAGTAACGGTCATAATTGTGTAGTGGCACTTTAAGATGTTCTGGTATTGCTACGCTTTTCTGTAGAGAGAGCGGGAAACACATGTTAATTCCCTACTTTTTCTTCATGTTTGAGAATATAGCAGCCATTCAACCGGGCTTTGTAAGGTTGGTGAAGAGTGTGTTTACGAAAAGACAACACTGTAGAATTCCCAGTACTAGTGTGGTTGTGATTAAACGCAACCCTAAGTGTCACAAGTTCCATCAGCAGAGTCTGAAAAACATATTTTTTTCTATAATATGCTGCCTTTGCTTTGCTGTAAAATATTGTGAATCCTTTGGCTTTTCAAAGTACAAAACTGTATTTGAGTCAACAGTGCCCCCCTCTGGCTATGCTGCATACCCACCTTGGTTGAATCAAAAGAACCAAATCCCATCAATTTCATCATCTCAATTTCCTCCTCCGTTTTGCCTTCCATATCCTCCGCTGTAACAGAAGAAAAAAATAGCCATTTAAGCTCCAGATTCCCAAGTCACTGAACAGACACATTTATGTTGCTTTTGTCAGCATTAATGTTGTTACCTGAGATCTGAATAGGCTTCCCGGCTTTATCCTTCCCCTCTTTCCGCTCATCATCACGTCTGTCCTTCTGCCTTCCAGGAGAGAGGGAGGAGGAGCGGTGGCACCTGGGAGGGGTCCTACCAGAGGAACATAAAGACTGCTTCAGTATACGAAAGCTATATACAGATAAAACAACTGTATCTAAACTACTTTAGTTCACATTCACTTTGGACCATTTAAAAATAAAGCACCCAAAAACACTGAAAGTGATTTTAAAGCTAACCAGTTATTGGTAATAGAATAATAGAGTTAAAAGAGGCAGAATATACACACATGATCCAGATATGCAGTACAAGATGGACAAGATGATGCAAAATAGGTCTTGATTCAAAAATTATTTGTGGACGTCACTGTGTTCGACTTGAATCAATACATACAAATTTTAATTTAACAGAAAAGTCAGTTTTTAGGTATCTATACTTTACTCCATTACTTATTTTTCTTCCTTCTTCTGACTTCTACTCATTACATTTTCACACCAGTATCTGTACTTTCTATTACTTACATTTTCAAAAACAAATGTTACTCTTGGCTTCAGTTTAATGTTTATAAGTATTTATTTCACCTCATGTGCTCCATCCAATGCAGATCACCAGGGCCATCCACATATAGTGAAAAGTAGTGTCATATATGAGTCATATGACGCAAACACTCATCGGTTAGCTAAAGGAGATACTCTGAAGCAAGCAGGTGTTCTTCAAACTTTAAATGTGAATTGTCTATGCCATGCTACAATGTTGGATTCAGAAAAAGATGTTGAAATGACTGAAAGGTCAGACACAGGCGAGAGTGTATTGGGAGACAAGAGACCAACAAGACCTCCCTCATCCTTGGCCCCATCTCAATGATTTTTTTCAAAATAATCGAAAAATTAGCTTTCAATTCATATAGTGGCATCTGGCTGTTTTTTTAAAGGTTACTTCATGCTTTTATACTTTAAGTAGTTTTTCGAGCACATACTTTTTCACATGACTTTAAATTAATTTTAGTTACTGCATTTATGCCTAACCCTAACATTTACACTAACCACCATCAGCATATTCCCAAAAATTTGGTTGAAATTTAATTCACACCAAACCTCTAAACTAATCCTCTAAGGATTAAAAATAGGGGTCCACCACACTGGGACCAGCCTTCGGTCCCCATAAGGCCTGTTAGTCCATAGAAGGTTAGTAAATAAACCAAACGATCCTAAATAGGTAACATAAACAACTATACCAACATACAAATAGGCATTTTTTAACTGAGTTGTTCATTCATTTTGCACTTAAATTAATGTTAGGAAAGCAAAAGATTTTTTTTTATATGTAAACTGTTTATATTATTTGTTCAGTTTTAGGTTCCATACAGCTCTTGGTGGGTTATTCTTTCAAGCAAATCGTCACATTTTTTACAATTACTTTGATTGTTTGTCTCATGGTTTCACACATTCCAAAGCATTTATAACTGCACTCTAGGGCTGAACGATCTATCGTTTTCGACCGAAAACCGCGATCTCAAGCAACGCGATTTTGGGAATGTCAAAGCTGCGGTTTTTCTTGGTGCATATTAGCCCAATAATTCCTCAATAATTCCAATGCATGCTCATGTAGAAAGGCTCTGTGTCGGCTATTACCAATCAGAAAAGGCTCTGTGTCGGCCAGAACCAATCAGAAAGCTGAAAGGCTGCGCGTGACCAGATGACGTTTTCAGTGTAGCTCGTAAGCTCGAGACTCAATTTCAAGATGGCTGAAGCGGGAGCAGACGCGGAGCCGACAAAATTAATACCAAAGAAAAACAGCACGTCGGTCATTTGGCAGTATTTTGGATTTGAGGCCACTGATGAGCACCAGAAACAGGTGATTTGCCAAACATGTCGTGGGAAAGTGGCTACATCGGCTGGCAATACCAACAATTTACATCGTCACTTGAGAGTCCACCACCTTAACTTGTATGAGGATTGTATGGCGAAAAAGAGCCTTGAAACATCAAATAGCAGTGATACTTCAGCAAAACAGCCAACCATAACTTCATCCTTTGCCAGTTTGACGCCTTATGAAAGAACTAGCCGAAGACACAAGGAGATTACCACTGCCGTAACGAATTACATATCGAAGGATATGGTGTCTGTAAACACAGTAACCAAAGACGCATTTAAAAGTTTGCTACGCACAATGGACAAGAGGTATGTTCTACCCTCCCGCACCTACTTTAACCGAGTCGCCATCCCACAGCTGTACGGAGAATGCAGGGCCAAAGTTGTAAATGAGCTGGAAAACATGGAGTTTTACGCGTCAACTACGGATCTGTGGTCAAGTAGAACGACCGAGCCATACATGAGTTTGACGGTGCATTTCGTGAATGCAAACTTTGAGTTGAGAAGCCGCTGCCTGCAGACAGCATACTTCCCCACTGACCATACGGGGGAGAACATTGCAATTGGGCTTAAAGAGTGCTTGGCAAACTGGGGCCTAAAAGAAGAGGCCCAGACCTGCATCACAACAGACAACGCCACGAACATGGTCAAAGCGATGGAGCTCAATCAGTGGACCAGACTGCAGTGCTTCGGGCACCGGCTGCATCTTGCAATTGGTAAGTGTGTGTGTGTGTGTGTGTGTGTCCAAATTTACTGTGTAAGAATTAGTGGTATCATAGTCTCTCAAACACAGTTAGGGCGGGGGAGGGGGACAAAGCGACCCTATGTTTGTTTTCACGCTTTTGTTAGCTGACCAACTGTTAGCGCAATGCTACCGTTTCTCCTACCTATAAAAATGAACGCTTTCATGAGTAAACTTTGAAACCTCCCAATAAGCTACTGCTTGCTTCTGTTTAGCTACGGAATGCCAAGGAACAGAGAGATACAAATGCCGTTTCCCCTAAGCAGGAGGTCTTCAACAGGGTTGTGCGCGACCCCTAGGGGGTCTACGGAGGTACTGCATGGGGGTCGCGAAAGTTTTGGTTGATTAGACTTTTTTATATATTCCCCCCTGCAACTTTTTTCATTAATTGAGATGTCTTTAAATACACATTAATATGAATTAACACAGATAAATGGAGGCAGAAGATGTCTTTCAGTCATCAATGCTCACATTCAGTGACACAGCTCTTTCAAGACACCATTTCATTCACAGCACCTGTCCCATCAAGCAGGAATCAGAATCAGAAATACAGGTGCTGGTCATAAAATTAGAATATCATGAAAAAGTAGATTGATTTCAGTAATTCCATTTAAAAAGTGAAACTTGTATATTATATTCATACATTACATACAAACTCATATATTTCAGATGTTTATTTTGTTTAATTTTGATGATTACAAATGACAACAAATGAAAATCTCAAATTCATCATATCAGAAAATTAGAATATTACTGAAGACCAATAAAAACAAAGGATTTATAGAAATGTTGGCCAACTGAAAAGTATGAACATGAAAAGTATGAGCATGTACAGCACTCAGTATTTAGTTGGGCCTCCTTTGGCCTGTATTACTGCAGCAATGCGGCGTGGCATGGAGTCGATCAGTCTGTGGCACTGCTCAGGTGTTATGATAGCCCAGGTTGCTCTAATAGTGGCTTTTAGCTCTACTGAATTGTTGGGTCTGGTGTATTGCATCTTCTTCTTCACAATACCCCATAGATTTTCTATGGAGTTAAGGTCAGGAGAGTTTGCTGGCCAATTAAGAACAGGGATACCATGGTCCTTCAACCAGGTACTGGTAGCTTTGGCACTGTGTGCAGGTGCCAAGTCCTGTTGGAAAATGAAATCTGCATCTCCAAAAAGTTGGTCAGCTGCAGGAAGCATGAAGTGCTCTAAAACTTCCTGGTATGTGGCTGCGTTGACCCTGGACCTCAGAAAACACAATGGACCAACACCAGCAGATGACATGGCACCCCAAACCATCACTGACTGTGGAAACTTTACACTGGACTTCAAGCAACGTGGATGAAGTGCCTCTCTTCTTTTCCTCCAGACTCTGGGACCTTGATTTCCAAAGGAAATGCAAAATTTACTTTCATCAGAGAACATGACTTTGGACCACTCATCAGCAGTCCAGTCCTGTTTCTCTTTAGCCCAGGCAAGACGCTTCTGACGCTGTCTGTGGTTCAAGAGTGGCTTGACACAAGGAATGCGACAGCAGAAACCCATGTCTTTCATACGTCTGTGTGTGGTGGTTCTTGAAGCACTCACTCCAGCTGCAGTCCACTCTTTGTGAATCTCCCCCACATTTTTGAATGGGTTTTGTTTCACAATCCTCTCCAGGGTGCGGTTATCTCTCTTGCTTGTACACTTTTTTCGACCACATCTTTTCCTTCCCTTCGCCTCTCTATTAATGTGCTTGGACACTGAGCTCTGTGAACAGCCAGCCTCTTTAGCGATGACCTTTTGTGTCTTGCCCTCCTTGTGCAAGGTGTCGATGGTCGTCTTTTGGACAACTGTCAAGTCAGCAGTCTTCCCCATGATTGTGTAGCCTATAGAACTAGACTGAAAGACCATTTAAAGGCTTTTGCAGGAGGTTTGAGTTAATTAGCTGATTAGAGTGTGGCACCAGGGGCCATCAATTTTGAACCTTTTCACAATATTCTAATTTTCTGATATGATGAATTTGAGATTTTCATTTGTTGTCATTTGTAATCATCAAAATTAAACAAAATAAACATCTGAAATATATGAGTTTGTATGTAATGTATGAATATAATATACAAGTTTCACTTTTTAAATGGAATTACTGAAATCAATCTACTTTTTCATGATATTCTAATTTTATGACCAGCACCTGTACTTTAATAATCCCAGGGAGTAATTATTTTGTTAAATCACTCCATCTGTAATAGAGTGACTATAGGAGCAGTTTTATATAACACAATTTCATACAATATATATAATTAGGGGGTCCCTGCTCCATCTCGTCATCAGTTTGGGGGTCCTTGGCCAGGAAAATATTGAAGACCCCTGCCCTAAGCTTATTTTTGACACACTTTAGTAAACAAAAAAATAATAAATAAATAAATTAAAAAAAAGCAAATGACGCCAATGGTATTTTGTAGCAGATATGAGGATGGCTGATGCCACTTTATTACAGATTGAAAGGTTTGTTGTGTTTTAGTGGATTGTCGAATAAACATATTGCTGCAAATTAATCACCAGTTACAAATTAATGTATGGCGAATTACTTAATGTGATAGCACCACCTGATGTCTGCTGTTAAAAAAAGTTATGAAGTAGGCTTATCTGACTGTATGTAATGTTTTTCCCAGAAAATGCAGTCAAAGATGACCAACGCATCAAACGGGCCACAGGACTGTGCAAGCAGCTGGTAGCAGTCTTCAGCCACAGCTGGAAGAAAAAGGCGGCGCTAAAACAGGCACAGGAAGACCTGAATCTTCCTCAGCAGTCAATAGTCACCGAATGTCCGACACGATGGGGCTCCCGGCAGAAAATGATTGAGAGGGTGTTGGGACAGAGCAAGGCACTGTGCCAAGTTCTGTCTGAAGACAGGAAGACGCGGCACCTGGTCCCGACTTGGCAAGACACTGATGTGCTTGAATCTGTAAACAATGCTCTCGGTCCTCTTCAGGAGTTCACAGACGCCCTCTCAGGTGAGGACTATGTGAGCGTATCCTACCTAAAGCCAGTGCTCCACCTGCTGAGAACAGCAACACTTGCTGTAACTGACCAAGACACAGATCTCACAAAGGAGATAAAGTCAAAAGCTCTCCACTACATTGAAGAGAAATACAGTGACCCAGCGACCCAGGAACTCCTGGACATCGCATCTTTCCTCGACCCAAGATTTAAGACCAACTACATTAGTGAGGAGAATGTCCAATTCATGAAAGACAGAGTGAAGATGGAAATGGAGCAGTTGGCACTAAAGGTAAGCTGTCCTTTTTCTTCACTCTTTCAAAATAAAACAAAAAGCTGTGTTTTTTCTATATATGTTTTTGAATTATACTGTAAGACCAAGGCAACATTTCAACATCAATGTCAGTAATCACAACTAATTGCAAAACATTATGCCTCTACTGTGTGTTGCAGGAGCAGAGGGCTTGTGTCAAAACCCATCCCATGCCACTCAGTACAGAAGAAGAACCACCATCCACCTCTACAAAGCGAAAGCGGTCACTGGGCAGCTTTTTCAAGGCGGTCCCTGCTTCCTCTACTATGCAGTTGGAGGATACCATTAAAGCAGAACTGGACAACTACCTCATAACTCCTAGCATTGATGGAGAGCAAGATCCACTGGCCTGGTGGAGAGTGCACAATGTCAACTTCCCCTGGCTTAGCAGGTTGGCTCGTAAGTACCTTTGCATACCAGCAACGAGTGCACCATCAGAGAGACTGTTCAGTGCCAGTGGTAATATTGTCACATGTCAGCGTGCAAGTCTGAAGCCAACAAGGGTTGACATGTTGGTTTTCCTGGCCAAAAATCTCTAAAGAGATGTAGGGATGAAGGGGAACATTGTTTTTTCATCTTATCCTGAAATCCCTTACTTGCACTTACCCTGACATAACTTTGTTCATCTTTTTTACTTATCTTTTGTTTACTGACTATGTAAAATAATTTAACCATTCTGGCATCATTTGTTGTGAGGAAAATATAGGATAATTTAAACTTTAATACTGTTATTGTACTGTTGTTATTTTTTACTACCTTTTATGTTTCAATTCCTCTTGCCACTTTATTTGAAGAAGCACAGGTTTCTAAGCACAGGGGTTGTATTTCTGTAACTGCTCTGTTGCTTATGTTCATAAGCTAGCTCCTTTGAGCCATTTTGCACTTCTTTTAAGGTAAGACTTCATTTTTGCTCAACTTTGTTGTTATATGTTATATTTTTTATGTAGCTTATGTTATTTTACAAAAGTGCAATTGTTTTGATGCTGCTGAGCCATTAATGTTTTTTTTTATGAAAAATGTAAAAGAAGCAAAAGTTTACTTAAGAGGGCTCCCGTCCCTTTGTAATTTTTATGTAGCCTACGTTATTTTACAAAAGTGCAATTATTTTGATGCTGATGAGCCATTGATGCTTGATATTTTTTGTTAATGAATGTAAAAGAAGCAAAAGTTTACAAAGGAGGGTTCTCATTTTATTTGACTTTTTTGGATAATATAATTTGTTTCTTAGGTGCTTGAATAAACAGTCTTGCATTTGAAATATGTTGCCACCAGTTTTCATTCTTGCATTATCTTAATTGAATTCATTGGTTATATAATTATTAAATATATATTAATTTGTACTGAAATTTGATTAAAAAAAAATAAATCGTGGTTGAAATCGAAACCGCAATCTCTGCCAGAAAAATCGCAATTTCAATTTTTTCTTAAAATCGTTCAGCCCTACTGCACTCAATAGCTCTAATAAAAATAATTTAACTTTATTGATCTCACATTGGAGAAATTTACATCTGCATTTAACCCATCCCCCTGGGGAGCAGCGGGCTGCCACAACCGGGCGGCCAGGGAGCAGTGTGGGGTTAAGGGTCTTGCTCAGAGACCCAGATGGGAAGTCTGTGCTCTGACCACTAGGCTGCCACCCCAGCAGCTAACCGGATCAGGTTTTACTATTTTTTATTACAGAAGTAAATGAAAGACTTGATTCCATCATAAACTCCAGTATGTGCAGAAGTAAACAACGACATTAAAGCTTTATAACTACTTACTTTACTTCCCTAATCTTCTTCAAACTTCAAGGGCCAAACACCTATTATTATATTACCAAAATAAAATACTCTTAAATATTCTTTCTAGATTAAAATGTATAAATTAGAAGGGGCTTATATATGTTAATTCTTTACCCCTCACAGCAAATTGGCAACTTTTACTGCAACTATATTATAGTATTAAAGGAAAGCCAGTTTTGGAAGATGTTTTTACCCATGCGGGGAAATAAAGAACCATCTAAAGTAAACAGATTGCCTCACCTGGAGCGCCTTCGGTGTGGTGAGCGTGAACGAGATCTGCGGCGGTCTCTGTCCCTGTCCCTAGAGCGAGAGCGCTCCCTGTCTCTTCGCCTGCGCTCGTGTTCCCGTGACGTAGAGCGGGACCGTCTTCTCTCTAACAGGAAAACACACATCACATCAATAACTAAATTTTTTTGGTAACTGTTAACGATGCATTGTAGTTATTTCCAAATATCTGCAATGGTTTATTAACCATCTACAACAGACTGTTCAGCATTTCTGAACAACAATTAAGCAAAAGTAGATTTTATTCAGCTTTATTGAAAAGCAGGCCAGTGTGTCACCACCCGCTACCAATAATATGTTCTGAATCATCCCACTATCAGTATGGGACTTTAGCTAGTTTTACAGAATTTCTTTATTGTCAATTGATCACCACCTAATACTTCAAAAAAGAAAAGTAACAGCATATTTATGTTTTAAATAGAAATAATAAATCAAATAAGAAGCAGTGACTTCTGTAACTTATTAAAACAAAAACCTAATATGATGTTCAATTTAAATAACTAAAGGGAAGATTGTTACAAATATGCTGCTAAATATTTTAGTTGTTATATTAGACAGATCTGCATTTATAGATTATCAGTGCTGCCGTCTATCAAAAAAAACATGCGTCTATCAGGCCAGTCTGATAGAATAAATTCTCCCTATGTTTAAAGAAAACAAAACACAAATGACCAGCTTTTAAACACTTTAAAAAAAAAATACATTGTACCTGAATTTAAAATGTAAGTTAATCGAAGCCGTTAAACTTGCTAGAAAAAACTTCAAGAAACTTCAAATTCTTCCTTTAAATTTCATATCAATGCAGTTTTTTTCACTATATTTTTTTTCTCCCACACTGTTTACATTCGATCATTGCTGCACTTTAAGAAATGGAAATGTCATGAAAGCTGCACAAAACGACATTTCAATAAGAAGTTGTTTAAGTCTAAGAACTAAATCTACAAAAAGCTGTTGTAGAATAATTACATTTACGCAATGAGCTGGTTAATCAGGGCGTCATCTACATCTAAGATCCAAAAGTGACAAGACTGATGTTACCTTTATTTTTTGATGCATTCATCTAATCAAAATAAGATGAAACAATACCATTACGAAGGTAGGTTGTTTTACGGTGTATTGTAACAATGAGTAACAAACATGCTTTGCATTGTGTCACAATTAAATTATTATTAGGAAAGCTAATGTGTTTAGTTGGAGATTTTTTTAATGTAAACTGTTTATATTATTTACCCAGTTTTGGGTTTCATACAGCACTTAGAGGGTTTACTAATCTTCTGAGGCCTGTTGGTCTTCAGAAGGTTAGTAAATAAACCAAATACAGTCCTAAATAGGTAACATAAACAACTACTTACACAAACCCACACAAAAATAAGCATTTTTTTATTTATTATTTTAAATACAATTTATTTTCATTGTTACTTTTGCAATAAAATTAATATAAGGATAGCAAATGTGATTAGTTTGAGATAAAAAAAAAAGTAAACTGTTTATATTATTTTCCCAGTTTTGGGTTCTATACAGATGTTGGTAGATTATTCTTTCAGCAAATGGTCACATTTTTACAATTCCTGGTTTCACACTTTTGAGAGCTGCTGTACCTGCACTCTATAGCTCTACCGGTTTAGGTTTTACTTTTTTTAAAATGTAAGAAGTAAATGAAGGACTTGATTCCATCATAAACTCCAGTATTTATTAATTGAACAGAAACAAACCCTCTGATAACTGTAACTAAACGGCGCCTCATTTAAAAAATGTACAAGAAACAAAAAGTCCTCAGTTCATCCATCTTTACAAGTGCTATATAATTTACCGTCGAGCAATCATAGAAACTATATCACCATTTGCTACTGAAAAAGAAGAGCTTTCGTTAAATCTGCACAAACAATAGTTAAAACTTCATATTTTCATCTTATTAAGAGGAGTTTTAGCTTCTGCATTCCCTACATCTAGAACCTTCTAAGACCACGGAGGACTAAAACAGTTTACTCTGAACGTTGAACTATATTCTTTTGATATAAACATCTTGGACGGTGATATGTAACCAATATAGCAATCAAATATTGAAGAAAGAATAGATATGTTTAGGAATAAAACAGCAAAAAATGTGTGATAACATAAGCTAGCGCTAAGTTAGCTACCTGGCAGTAGCAGCCTTATACTATCTTACCTCGTCTCGGCGGAGTTCGGCTCCTGCTCCTACCCATTCTTCAAACTAATTAAAAGAGCCTTTCCTATGAACAGGAACTGCACAGCAGTATTAAATAAAGTAAGAACAGAACGCAATTAGCTTGAATCTACCGAAAGCTCTTCTTCTTCTTCTTATGAGATTTTATGGCGGTTGGCAAACTTGTGAAATGTGCATTACCGCCACCAACTAATATGGAGTAAAGCAAGGAAACAGGAAACGATTCACCCCCCCCAAAAAAAAAAAAAAAAAAAAAAAAAAAAAAAAAAAAAAAATACAATAAAATAACCTGTGTAACTTAAACCCACATAATACTAAATTATACTAAATTACATTTGCCCGTATAATTTTAATTTACTCTAGGTCATCGTACCTCTGCCAGTTTCTGATGGTCCCATTGGTCTTTCCATCATGCTTCCAACCATCTCCCAGTTCATATCTTTAACATCCAGATATTTTTCTGCAGCCTTCACTATTATTTTGATTTTTTCTGTTTTTTTTGTCGTCTGAGCAGTACAGTTAATCACTTCCACCATGAAAAGAACAAAATTTGTCTTTTTAACAATTAGTGAGTCTTCATCAATTTTTGGAGATTTCTCTAGAGGTTTGAAATTTGCCGTGTGTTGAACTGTAGGTTTGGGTTTTTCTGACTGAGATGGGATCCTTTTTGCAGCTTCAGCATAAGTTATTCCAAGCTCAAATTTCATTTTTTTTATTTCTTCAGACCTTTTGCTTGCTTCACAGCCGCGATAAGCAGCAGTATGTTCTCCACCACAATTACAGCATTTTATTTTAGCTTCTTTTCCACATTTACCATATTCATGTTCTCCTGCACACCTTCCACACCTCTGTTTCCCTTTACAAACTGCTGCAATGTGTCCGAATTTTTGACATTTGAAACATCTCAATGGTGGTGGATTGTAGATTTTGACATTGTAACTGATGTAACCGATGAATACTTTGCTTGGTAATTGCTCTTCCTCGAATTTAATTAGTACAGATAAACTGTCAGATCTTTCTCCGTTTCTTGTTGTTTTTAACCGTTTTACTTCTTTTACTTTTGCACCGCTTATGTTTTCCAGAATCTCTTTTTCAGAAATTTTCAGAGGAACTCCTCCAATGACTCCCCTGCTGATCTTTTTGTTCTCCATTAGGCTGCACTGAACTCTTATCCCGTCAATTTTGTTAATACGTATTGCTTTGCCTTGCTGGGCGCTGTCTCTGCAGTTAATTAGCAGGTCTCCACTGTACAGAATTCTGGCACCTCTGACTTCTCCAACAAGTTTATTGATGGTTTTTGTTAAGTGAACCGGATTCCAGTTTGTAAAAGAGTCTGCCTGATTAACGACTTTGAATATGACTTTGAATTCATTTTGTTGTGCTGTGGAATGTATGGATTGATCATCACTGGATTGTTCTGAACTAGATTCCCCTTTAACTGATCTCTGTTTTTTCCGCTTTTTCTCATTTTTTGATGCTGCTATCTTCCAACCTTCATTGTCACTATTTCCCTCTTCCATCCCACAAGAATCGCTTCCTGTTTCCTCACTACTCACGGCCCAGGACATTTCTCCACAAGCAGAGCAGCTTCAAAACACGCGCCATGCACCTACCGAAAGCTCTGTGCCAGGTTCTCCTTTGTTAATCAATGATTGGTTGCTCTACACAAATTTCCTGTAGCTCCCTATGAACAGAGCGCCCCCTATCGAGCTGTATGACCGCTATGTTCAGGAAGCTCTAAAAAGTTGGGTAAGAATTTGAAAATGTTGTACAAAAAAAAAAGGCTGCTAAAACCACTGATTTGGTGATTTAGTGAAATTTTCCTGAATAGATTCTGTCTTGGCCTTTTGTTAAGAAACTTCTCACATACACTTGACTCACAAGATTCCCAACATAGAGAATAAAGTTCAAAGAAGTTTCAACAAAGTGAAAAATCAGCACTATAACAGAATTGTATTGTTTGCCATCTTGATCTGAGCCAAAATAAGTATAAAGTGTTTTGGGAAGAAATGATCCTGATTAAATATTGATACCAGATATCGGTCCAATATCTGCCAAAAAATATTTGATTATATATCGGCCTACATTTAAACTCTTCTATATTGACATGCCAATAGAAAAATATTAACAGCTAAAAATGTTTCATGTTATGATATTGCTTAATTATTAATATTAATTGGAGTGAATTGCTTTATGGGAAAAATTTACTTAATTGTTTAGGTTTCTAATAAAGATCTGCCTTCTGTTTAAAGTTAATGTAACCCGTGGTTTATTAATAAATGGGTCAGTTGTTCACATTTATATGTGGTTCAGCCAGCAAAGGGTTATCAGGTCAAACCTGAGCTTTGGTCGTTGTGTCCTTGGGCAAGACACTTCATTGATATTGCCTACAAATGGTGGTCAGAGAGAGCACCTGTGTATGACAGCCTCGCTTCTGTCAGTAAACCACGGGCAGCTGTGGCTATAAGGTAGCTTACCACTGTCAGTGTGTGTGAATGGGTGAATGACTGAATGTAGTCTTAATTTGATTTAGGCAAAGCGCTATAAAAATACAGGCCATCTACCATAAATACTGTTGTTGACTATTGTTCTATGTTTGATATCACCTTCCTTTTCTAACACCGCTCACTACAAAATTAGTAGTAAATTCACATGTGAGGTATTGGTCAACACTAAAAGCTGTAAAATCAGTATTGTATTGGAAATTTGCACTGGGACTACTGCTGAAACAATTATTTAGACTATTCGTAATTAATGGGTTATTGAAATTGTAAACAAATTTAGTAATCAAATAATCATTAACTGAAGTATAGAGGCTCTAAAACATGCCTTTACCTGACAGAGTGACCCACTTAGAGCAGCAACTATACCAAGATTGTAAAAAAAATGTAAATTTATTTGCATAGGATAAAAAAAATCTTTATCCAGAACTCCACAAGTAGAGATGTTTGAATTTCAGTTTTAATGTTGTAAAAAGTCTTCTTTAAAGAAGCTTTGGCTATCCAATTATTAATCAATTAATCCTAAATCTTATTGACAGAATAATCGATTATAAGAAAGTCATATCAGCTATCTTATCCAAACTTACTGTCCTGAAAAACTTGAGAAAAGTTGGAAAGAGAATATTTTCATGGTCAGAGAAGACATAAATAAATTGAAAAAAAAAAAAAAAAACTGAACAAAAACAATACAGGACAGACAATGAATAAAATGAGTGTTTCCAAAAAATTGTAAAAAAAAAAAAAAAAAAATTTTTTTGGAATGACTGTGACCTGGATGAATGAGAACCTTCACCAGCAATAAAAAGAGTGCTTTTAGAATGAATGGACCAGGCTATCACTGAACTACAATCATCCACCTTAAATAAAAAAATGTTTAGTCAACCTTAGAGGTGGATAATCTAGGTCCAGAAGGCAAAAGCCCAGCCTTTTTTTTCTTTATCGTGTTCACTTAACCAGGTGATTAGCTCCTCAGGTGATTAGTCTTTTTTGTGCTGAAAATGCAAATGACTGGAACTGATCTCTCTACATGCTTTTTTACTCCCTGGACCTGAATTATCCACCTCTGGTTAACCCACAAATGCTTGTTAAGATCATGTAAATCATTATCACTGTCTTTCCTAATGTGAACAGCAGGGGGAGACAGAGACCATGCTGCAATGTAACCATCCTAGGTCTATGGTATCAAAGCTCATCCCCCCATGACTAACTGTAACATTTCATGTTTATTCTACTGTCTTAAATCATATTTAACATTTATTGCCATATGCCTGGTTTCAGTCAAAGACTACAAGAACATATCATTCTGCATTCCTTCAACAATTTCTAAACAGGGAAGAAAACAAACATATAATCTGCAGCTGTTGACAAACCATTTGAAGTGGTACAAATCAAAGTTTTCTGGGGGCCACAGGAATCAGAGCAGTCATGTTTCATTTGCCCTTGCAGAAGCCGAGCTTGCTCATTTGTGTGGCAATGCCAGGCTAACAACCGAGATCCTCGACTCTTAAACGGGTGCCCCACTTTATTTTTAGGCATCGGCCTCTTGAGAAATTTACAAGCGACCAGAGCTAAGCCCAAGGTGCTGCTGTAGCAGCTCTGTGTCATGCATTTTAAACGTGGCTGGAGGGGGGTGTGATTCTTAAGGGAACAACAGAGCAAGGGAAAAGAAGTTTGTCAGAGTTCATTAAGTATCAGGGGAACATTTCTGGAACTGGCAGAGTAAGCTGCGCCGGGGCCCTAGTGCCATTAATCACGACTGACATGAAACCAGGGGACGAGGGAGGTGGTGGAAGGAGGGGAAGGCAGCTCTGCCAGAGACTCTGGTTGTGATTATAGAAGGTGGTCCGAGCTGCTCAGGCCCAGAGTGTAGAAGGTAGAAAACATTGCTGCCAAGACTGCAATGTTGAGCTAACCTCTCACAGATCAGCCTCACATAATCATATGTAGACCGAGGAGAGACATGTGACTCCAGCCTCTGAAAACATGACAGAGTAATTGCTGAGGCATGAAGTATTCTGGCCTCAGATGGAGAAAAAGAAGTGCAGAAGCTGAATCTCTCTCTGTGTCCACTCCCATCCTCCAGCCAATCTCCCCCTTGCTTCTGGTTTAATAGTGTGCAGGAAGAGGAAAGTAAAAGTGCAGCAGTTTCAGGGCGCTGCTCATACATCTCTGTCGCCTGCCTTATTTTCTCCCTGCAAGCCCAGAGATTTTGTACTGGCTTGCAACGCTGCTGCAGCCACCCTGGAAGAAGAAATGAATGTGAGGGAGAAAGCGGAGTGAGAAAAGGAGGAGGAAAGCTTGTGACACGTGAAGTTGGAGGCCTCTGTTAAGTGCCGTGCTTGAAAGCCCGTCCAGCCTCATTAGCTGTCAGTTGTAACAATACCGAGCTGGCAGCAAAGACTGCTCCCAGTCTCGGTGCCATAAATCACTGGCTGACAGGGCCCAGACAGGGCTGGGAACCAGCACACATGCAGGACTAGCTCGTGTTCTGTCTCTTTGTTGTTCCTTTTTCTTTTACTTTGCTCTCTGTTTTTCCACGGCTCATTCTTTTCTACCCTTTGCTTCCCCTTCTCTCTCTCTCTCTCTCTCTGCTATAGTTTAATATGTCTCTATCACACAAAGCTACAACACACAGCAAAGTCAGCAGATGACAGAGAACACATGTGCTTGCATTTTTTTTTGTGGACCAAATTTGTAATGCTAGGTATAGGTGAACCAGACAAAAGAGCTTGGACAGATCAGTCATTTTTTGATGGATGTGATGTGATTGCCAGACCTGAATATTTTTTCCTCAATGTTTTCCCCATCTATTTCTCATCTACATCCCCAAGAAGTATTGATCAAAATGTTCATTATATAATAAGTCTAATACAAAATCCAGGTACTATATTTAACGGCGTAGCAGGTCTGACTCTCTGGCTGCTTAAGCTATTATTTATGATATGATCATACTGTGTGGTGCATTCTTTCAGCAGGGACAGTAGACTTTGTAAGAGTTGAAGGAATGATGCATGGGTGTAAAATGACGATAAATATCTTAAGTTTTTTTGGACTTGACCAGTTACAGAGATGCATAAGGACTAGTCACATTTACACGAGAAACTTTTTGAAAAGAACACTATTTAGAAGTATTTTTTCACGCCATACTCTTTACTTTTACTTAAGTATGGTCTCTATAAACTGTTGCTATGCTTACTTGGTTAAAATGTTTGGCTACTTTGTTCACTGTGAGTAACTTCACTAAATGACAAACAAGCTTGTTTTTAAACCAAAGTGCTCCAGACAAATACCCATAGTTAATGTTTATGCAAAAATGGTTTTTCTGTTTTTGTGCAGAAGTTAGGTTACATCTGGTAAACCTGCCAAAACATTTGGAGGTCAAGTTAAAGGAATGAATGTTGTCATTCAAGGTAACTTACACATAAAACAACATAGCCTACTAAAATACTGTCAGTATTGGACTTTTACATTTTATGATAAAAAGAAAATTGATTAGGAAAAGTGTTTAATCTGCCTTGGATTTGTTATCAATCATTATCAGTTACGTTATTCTTTTCATTATTTAATCACAGTCTATAAAATGCTAGAATATACAGGTTACTTTACATTTTGGTCTGTCTTATTTAGAATTTTAAGTAGTAAACCAGATGTGACAAGTCACTTTGTATTTGAGAAGAATTTTTACCAAAAAACGTTTTTGCTCTTACCCAAGGAAAAATATGATGAAGTAGTGCTGCTATTTCTAAAGTATTATTTTTTTCGGTCCTCGCCAAGTAAATCATTACAGAATCTGCATCTTGAGTACAACAATCAGTCAGTTTTGGACATGGCTCTAGTGGAAATAAGGTCTCAAGGAAAGATCTCTGGTAACTAATGTCGGTCAAACTGGAGAATAGGAATATTTGCATTGAAACTGTGTTTTATAAGTTTGAATAGGATAGAAATAGGTTTGTTTGTTTTGTTGGGGCATATTGAACTATCAAAGGCTATCTAAAAAAAGACAAATATAGAATTAGGAGGTTCAAGAGTCAAACAAAACCCCTCAAGATTTATCTCTAAAGAAAGATCCAATTATAGACAAATATATGATTGTCACATTAGAGGCAGCTTTAACAGTCAAAGGAAATCAGATACTGGAGATGTTGAAAAATAAATAAGTTTCAATGTAGGAAACCAGTAATTGTAATAAACTGTATCATAAG